CTCCCGCACCGGCAGTGCCGTTGGTGACGTGGGTGGGTTGGTTGTTGGAGCTGTAGCCGCTGTTGGGAAATTCGCTTGTCTTTCCAGCTGAAATGAGAAAAGAAATATGTGTCATTGTAGTCATATTTGAGAGAGATAGAGAGAGAGAGAGAGAGAGAGAGAGAGAGAGAGAGAGAGAGAAAGAGAGAGAGAAAGAGAGAGAAAGAGAGAGAGAAATAGACAAAGAGAAAGAGAAAGAGAGAAAGAGAGAAAGAAAGAGAGAGAGAAAGAGAGAGAGAAAGAGAGAGAGAAAGAGAGAGAAAGAGAGAGAGAAGAGAAAGAGAGAGAGAGAGAAAGAGAGAGAGAGAGAGAGAGAGAGAGAGAAAGAAAGAGAGAAAGAGACAGAGAAAGAAAGAGAGAGAAAGAGAGAGAGAGAGAGAGAGAGAGAAAGAGAGACAGAAAGAGAGAAAGAAAGAGAGAAAGAAAGAGAGAGAGAAAGAGAGAGAGAAAGAGAGAGAGAGAAAGAGAGAGAGAGAGAAAAAAAAGAGAGAGAGAGAGAGAGAGAGAGAGGATGGGAGAAAAAGAAAAAGGAAGGATGCCAAACAACACATTATTTTTCAGAAGCTTTTGGGTTCAGATACTAACATTTTCTTTTTCTTCAAAAAAAAAAAAAAAAAATTACACTGATTCCCAGGGCAATCTGGCCTTAAAAGGACACTAGGAACAGTACTAGGAATTAAAAGAGTCCGATGAGATGACCACCACATCATCACACCACTGAGTGCCTGTTGGTGTATAAAATATAGGTCTAGCCCTATGTGCCCAATTTCGCCTGACGGGGTGAAAAAAGGTCCTTTACTTTTTATATATACTGAGTTTTTTTTTTTTTTTTAAATAGATCAGAAAGCTAATTATGATAAAGATAAAACAAGAATGGAAGCGAGAAACAACAACCTGCATATAAATAAGCCAGATCTGTAAAACGGACGTACATGCAAAACTCATTCTGAAAGAAGGCTAAAGTCCAGAAGTGGACGAACAACCAAAAACCTTTTTCTTTAGTTTACAGACAGTGAACGCAAAGAAGAAGACAAACATAAAGTTTCCAGCGGGAAGAAGAAACAACAGGAATTAGCACAAGCAGATAAATAATACCAAGATCATAATATATAAAACGTTAATAAGACCAGTAGTTTGATATGGCTCTGAAACTTGGAGCACAACTAAAAGAGATGAAACCTCAATTCAAATTGTCGAAAAAAGAATATTACGACAAAACTGTGGACGTAACAAAGATGTAAACAGCGGGAAATAGAGAGTGAGAAGCAACAACGAAATTCATAGTAAAGTAAAGGGCCCTTTCCAACGCCTTTCGGGTGTATTGGGTATGTAAGACTAGACCTATATTTTATAGACCAAACGGCACTTGGTGGGTGATGTGGTCAGCATCACGCCGGCCTCCTTTACTTCCCATGACTGTATCTGGTACCAGCTCAAGGATGGGTCATGATGTTTTTAAACCATCATTGATCACTGGCATGAGAGCTAATAGACTGAAATACCTCGGGCATACTGAGAGAAGTCGATTCTGTGGACTAAGTCCATGCGAACGCTTCGTAATGCCGGGTGCCGGGTTCGATCCCAGAGGCGGGCCATGTGCCTTGCGTTGGTTTCGACAGTGGTATCAAGAAAGCAGACCGTCCAGAAAGCAATGGCAAACTACTGGGTGTAAATTTTCCTAGAAAAAGCTGTTGTAGTTGGTTCTGCAACGTCCTGTAAAGGATACGCAACTAGCCTTAATACTCAGAGAACGTCAACCAACTGGAAAGAGAAGGCCTAGCAGAGAGATGAGTGGAAGCGGGTGATATCTGCAGCAATGAACCTGAAATGCTCGAAAGGTGGAAGAAGAAGAAGAAGAAGAAGAAGAAGAAGAAGAAGAAGAAGAAGAAGAAGAAGAAGAAGAAGAAGAAGAAGAAGAAGAAGAAGAAGAAGAAGAAGAAGAAGAAGAAGAAGAAGAAGAAAGAAGAAAGAAAGAAGAAGAAGAAGAAGAAGAAGAAGAAGAAGAAGAAGAAGAAGAAGAAGATAAAGAAGAAGAAGAAAAAGAAGAAAAAGAAGAAGAAAAAGAAGAAGAAAAAGAAAAAGAAAAAGAAGAAGAAGAAGATAAATAAAAAAAAAAAAAAAAACCCCACATAAAACACGAAAACAACAATTTATTATAAACATAAAAACCACAAAATATGAAGCTCAGTTTCAAAATGTATGCAAAAAAAAAAAAAGCATGGGTATTTCTTAGTTACAGTTCTTCAATATTGCTCGATGAAATATAGATGAGTTTTTCTTGCACACATGACTTTCCTCTTTTGAGATAACTGGCAGTTTCACCTGAACATATGTTTGTTGTTAGCAATGATATGATACTGTACAGTTAACTTTCTTCTATCACTCGAATGTTAAAATGTATCCAATACTTCGTTTTCCTTATGTATACATATTTTGTGCTGTTAACTTTCAGACGAATGCTAGGAATAAAGCCAGTCTTACAGGTCATCAAAGAACAACAAATGAAGTGGTTTGGACACCTAACAAGAATTGCCTGGTACTATCTGCCACAGTGAGCCACTCTAAAACGTTACAACGAGTATAGAGCGAGTGGGAGACCTCGGAAAATATGGAGTGATGGCATTAAGAACAGCCTTACAGAAATAAACATCAGTCCTAATAGTGCTCTTCACAGAGTTCATCAATATTACATCTCCCCCGACACTTCGCTAAGGTACAAGGTGGAAGAAGAAAAAGAAGAAGAAGAAGAAGAAGAAGAAGAAGAAGAAGAAGAAGAAGAAGAAGAAGAAGAAGAAGAAGAAGAAGAAGAAGAAGAAGAAGAAGAAGAAGAAGAAGAAGAAGAAGAAGAAGAAGAAGAAGAAGATGCGAGAACACAGCAGCTTGGTCTGAAAATAGATAAAGGAAAGACAAAGATAATGAGAATAAATCAGGCAAATAGTAATGTGGTTTCCCTTAGTGGCACCCCACTCCAAGACATGGAGTCGTACACATATTTAGGCAGTAATGTAGATAAAGATGGAGGAACTGATAGAGATATTAAAATAAGATTACAAAAGGCAAGAGGAGCTTTCATAGCACTAGGGAATTTGTGGAGGTCAAAAGAAATTAAAAGAAATACTAAACTAAAAAGTTTTAATTCTAATGTCAAATCAGTACTTTTGTAAGGGGCGGAAACATGGAGAACAACTAAGGCTATTACTAATAAACTACAAACATTCATTAACTGGTGCCTGCGCAAAATAGAAGGAATTAAATTTTATGACAGAATAAATAATGTAGAGCTTTGGAAGAAAACTAAACAGGCTCCAGTTGAGCGTTGGATAGGACACACACTGAGAAAACAGGAGAACAGCATAACTAGAATGTCTTTGCATTGGAACCCACAGGGGCATAGGAGTAAAGGAAGGCCAAAGAATACATGGAGAAGAAAGCTGGAGAATGAAGTTAGAAAGATGAGGAGGACATAGGGAGAGCTCCATGTAATGGCGAAGGATAGAACGACTTGGCGGGAGTTGGTTGAAGGCCTATGCTCCATTGGGGGATAGAAAGGCAGAAGAAGAGGAAGAAGACTATCTGCCACAGCGAGCCACACTAAAATGTTACAACTGGTATGGAGCGAGAGGAAGACCTCGGAAATCATGGAGTGATATCATTAAGAACAGCCTTACAGAAATGAACATCAGTCTTTATAGTGCTCTTGACAGAGCTCATCAACGAATATTACATCTCCCCCTGACACTTCAATGAGGTACAAGGTGGAAGAGAAGAAGAAGAAGAACTTTATTCTTGTACTAATGATGATTATCAAAGTCGTCCTCTCGTGGGACGCAATTTTTATTTTTATTTTGGATTCCCACCCTGGCGTTTTCGTGGGGCCCTGAATATAGTCGGGCCATAAATATAGATATATTTCATTTGATTTTCACTAGCAGGGGACAGAGCAAGTATGGGGTGACTCAACTGCAGCGAAGTTAATACCTTGACTACGACTAAAACTAAGGCTAAGACTAAGACAGAACAGCAACAAACATGTATCAGTGAAGATCACTTGTCAATGCCTTATATATCAACAGTGATATGAAGAGGATGCAGATTTATAGAACCACTCAACCAGAAATAAAACGGGGCCCCAGTGGGAAGAAAACAATGGCGTAATTACTCTTTATTGTAGTTTAACATAAATGACAGAGAGATGGGAACATATATTCCCTCCTGATAAAAATATTAATTAAAAAGAAAATTTCTATTAGCAACACAATCTATCCCACATAAGCGTCTATTTCAGCAGCCTGTCTCTCACACACCTCTCCCACACACATTGCTAACGTACCCCCACCTGACTCACGGCGGGAGAATTGACTGCGAGTGGGATTAATTATGTCACCTGTTTAATGCGGAACTGCATCCGTGAAGGCAGCCATTTCCATTACACCCGGGTGATCTCGATTACATGAACTGAACATGCAGCAATTCAATCCTCGCAGAAACTAGCAGGGTATCGGTTTAACCCTGTCAGCGTTACAGTGTTGAGTATCGAAGAGACTGGTTTCCCAGCGAGCTACTTTCCGTGTTTCTCGCAGGTGCGTACAATGACGGGAATCGATTCACTAGCTCGTCAACGACAATCTAAACCAGGCTTTGAGCCCGATTCCAACCAGTGACAGCAGTTTGGCTGTGATCGAAGACCGCTTGCGGTTTCTTCTGTACTGTGGGTGTGAGTCGTGTTTTTGTGTGTGTTTGTGAGGTGTGTCTGTGTTGTGTGTGTCTGAGTTCTGTGTGTTAGATTTGGGTTTTCGCGTATGAGCATGTGCGCGTGTGTGTGTGCGTGTGTGTGTGTGTGTGTGTGTGTGGGTGGGTGGGTGTCTGTGTGTGCGTGTCTATGTGTGTGTGCTTGAGAGAAATTAAATATGCGAATTGTGTATGTATGCGTGTTTGCTCGAGTGAAGGGATGGGGGTGCGTA